TGCTGCAGCAGGAGGAGCAGGAGGAGCAGCAAGAAGAGGAAAAAGAGGAGCAAGAGCAGCAGAACCAATGGGTCCTCCTCCTATAGATATACCTTATAATATACACAGAGCAGAGGAGAAGAATATATTAATAAAAGAAATAAATATAAATAATAATTATAATAAACCTTATTTATTAAGATTTATTATTGATTTAATTATAGATAAACAAATAGGACAAGATATTCTTCTTATTATACATGAATGGGCATATAACCTATTTTATTCATCCTCTTCTTCTTCCCCATCCTCCTCTTCCTCTTATTCCTCTTCTTCTTCCTCCTCTTCCTCCTCTTCCTCCTCTTCTTCTCCTTTTTCTTCCTTTATGTGTAATAAGGAGAGAGGGATTGAATGTGTTGGTCATGAATGGAGTAACAAAGGACTTTATCAATGGGGATCTAACATACCTAAGACATCTAGTCTATCTATGCATGACGCGTAAGCTCCTCCTCCTCCTCCTCCTCCTCCTGCTGCTGCTCCTGCTGCTCCTGCTGCTGCTCCTGCTGCTCCTGCTGCTGTTGCTGCTGTTTAGGGTGGTGATGGTTGTATAAAAAAGTTACTATACTCATTACTGCAGCAGCAGAAACAGCAGCAGCATAAGCAGCAGCAGAAACAGCAGCAGCATAAGCAGCAGCTGCAACAGCAACAGAACAGTAGTAGCAAACAGCAGCAATAGCACAGACCAATTCAATGATAGGTTACACTGCCTATTTATTTGCTGCTCTTGTTGCTGCTCTTGTTGCTGCTGCTGCTGCTGCTGCTGCTGCTGCTGCTGCTGCTGCTGCTGCTGCTGCAGTTACAAAGACGTTCAAATCATGAAAGCTCTGCAGCCAGCATTAGAATGGCGAATGGTAAGCAGCAGCAGCAGCAGCAGCAGCAGCAGCAGGAGCAGCAGGAGCAGCAACAGTACTATATAGAGTTAATATGTATGAATAAATATATGCAGACATCCTCCTTTACCTGCTGCTGTTGCTGCTGCTGCTGTTGCTGCTGCTGCTGCAGTCTGTATCTTGTGACGAGATACCTCCAACAGTAATAGTAATAATATTAGTAACAACAGAAGAGAAAGCAGAGGAATATTTTGCTGCAGCAGCAGCAGCAGAAGCAAATGGTACAGCAGCAGCAGCAGCAGCAGCAGCAATATTATCTAATGATGATGAACTAGCAGCAGCAGCAAGAGAAGAAATAGCATGGGAAGATAAACCTATATATATACATATATTAATAAATAAAGAAAATAATAATAATAATAATAATAATAATAATAATAATAATAATAATAATATAAATATAATAAGAGAAAACCCTATTAATATAATAAAAGAAATACCTATAAAAGATACAAGTAATATAATAAAAAAAAACAAGAAAGATATATTTATTTCCTTATTTACTAAGGAAAAAATATATATTTCTTCTTCTTATATTAATAATAATAATAATTATAATTATTTATCTAATTATTTATTTATAGGGGATATTATTATTAATAAATTAAATGAATTATTTTTTATTATACATAAAGAAATTTTCTCTAGTGTACGTACAGTTGAGCTGTGCAGACACCCCATTCCTCCTCCTTCTTTCCTTTTTCCTTGGCAAAAAGATAATAATATTAATTATAATTATAATAATTATAATAATAATTATAATTATGATACTTATAGGGCTATACAAGTTGCTTATGATGGTCAGTTCGTCTATTTGCTGCTGCTCATGCTGCTGCTCCTGCTGCTGCTCCTGCTGCTGCTCCTGCTGCTCCTGCTGCTATTGGGTGTGGTGCTGCTGCTGTTGTTGTTGCTGCTGCTGGTGTTTTTGTTGTTGTTGTTGCTGCTGCTGCTGTTTATTTGTTTATTTATTTATTTGTTTGTTTGTTTGTTGCTGTTGTTGTTGTTGTTGTTGTTTGCTGTTGTTGTTGTTGTGTCTCTTGGGGTGTATAGGCACCTCCTATCTGAGGTGTATAGGCAGCTTTCTTACATAATTTTTTTACATACATATATATATTAATATATACATATATATATACACAATTATGTATATAATTTATATATTTATATATTTATATATTTATTTATTTATTTATTTATTTATTTATTTATAGGGCAACCCTTTGATAGATTAATAGAGTTTAATATACCTGAGGAAGAAGTTGGTGTTTATTCATCCGCTAAACTTCCATGGCAATTCAGGATGGCTTGTGATGGAAACTTTAATCCTGCTGAGTAAGAAGGGACTCCTGCTGCTGCTGCTCCTGCTGCTGCTGCTGCTGCTGCTGCTGCTCCTGCTGCTGCTGCTGTTGTGGGTGGTGGTGGTGGGGGTGCTAGGGGTGCTAGGGGTGCAGCAGGAGCAGCAGATATATGTATATTGCTGATACAGATAGATGTCCTGCAGCTAGCTGCAGAACCTGGATCAGTATATGGCAGCTAGCTGCAGCTGCAGCAGCAGCAGCAGCAGCAGCAGCTAGCTGCAGCTAGCTGCTATTAGCTGCTGCTAGCGGATGAGTTATGTTGTGTTAGCTAGCTGCTTTCTTGCATGGCTAGCTATGGCTAGCTAGCTATAGCTAGCTAGCTATAGTTAGCTAGCAACAAACTCTATTTTCCCTTTTCTTTTAATTCTTTGCATGCACAAATATAAATAAATAAATATAAATATTTATATAAATATATAAATAAATAAATAAATAAATATAAATAAATATAAATACCCTAATAGTAATTAAATACAAGCCTACATACTAAGTATATAATATTGAATACACTAAGACAATATTATATATAAGTGTATATATATACATAAATATATTTATATTATTCTTCCTTCTTGTTATTACTAAGAGATAAAAGAAATAATTAATAATATTAATTATTTTATTTATCTTAATAGTTTGTCTTTTTATTTATTTTCCTTAATGAAGTGCATGCAACAATACATTTAGGTGTACATACACCGCAAGTGGGTGTACAGAGGTGACCTCGTTGCGGCTATGTAGGCTGCATGCAGCATAAAATAGACAAGATAAGAAAAAGGAGAAAAAAGAAAATAAATAAATTTATATAAATATAATAAAAAAAAAGAAAAAAAAACAAAGAAACCACTGGTCTGCCCATTACCTCCTCTTACTGTCTGCTCTAGGTGGGGGGCCCCCCTCCTGTACCCACATGGGGGGCCCCCCATGGCGGCTTAGACCAGGGGCTGTTGTATGGATGGGGGGAAGCATGCAGAATAAATTGCTGAATAATTAAATTGTTTGTTTATAAATAAATATAATTAGTAATTAATGCAATAAATATATTCTTTTATTTCCTTATAAGGGTGCTGTTTGTTGCATAGCTGTACATACACCTGAATATATATATACGCTTGCCCGCCACAAGAGAGGGAAAGCCTCTCTTTATTCCTTTATTTCTTCTTTTTGTTTGTTTTTTATCATTATTATTCTTTTATTTTATTATTTTATAGTTAGAAGAGAGGAAAAAAGGGTCTTATTTACCCCTTTTATCCCTATATAGCACCACTATTAACCCTCCCCCCCTCCCCTTGTAGCCGTCTCGTGGATAATTGGGGTGTATGTACACCTCAGATATTCATACATATAAATATAAACACTTTTTTCTTTATTTATTCTCTTCTTTCTCCTTGCATGCAGCCAACACACCCTCTAAACCCTAAACCCTAAACCCTAATCACTGCATCATCTTCTTTATTCTCCTTTAATAAGGAGCATCTCCTTTTAGACCCCTACAAACCCTAAACCCTAAACCCTAAACCCTAAACCCTAAACCCTAAACCCTTGGTGTGCTGCGGCACCCTCTGCCGCAGCACATCTATATATATATTAATATTTATTTATTTATTTATTTTATTTATTTATTTATTTATTTATTAATAAACCCTTTTGCTGCTGCATGCAGCAAGGTTCCCCCTATGGCACGACGAGGGGATTATAGGGGTGTGTTACAACCCCACCATTTTCTGTCTATAAAGAGGATATTTTCTACTGTGTTGCTGCTGCTGCTGCTGCTGCTCCAGCTGCTGCTGTTGCTGCCAACGCTGCATGGTGCAGCAGCAGCAGAAGCAGCAGCACCAGCAGCAGCAGCACATAATAAGGAAGCAGCGCCTCCTAAGACAGAGACACAAGGGACACTATGGGGAGAAGTATACGAAGAAGGGCAGCAAGCAGATGATGATAGAGAGTTAGTTCTGCTGCTGCTGGTGCTGCTGTTGCTGCTGCTGTTGCTGCTGCTGCTATAGACTGCGTTCCTGTTGCTTCTTTCTTCTTGGTTGCTGGCGATTGCTTTGCTGTAGTAGCTCTTTTTTTTCTTTTGCTGCAGCGTCTGTTGCTGTTACGTTGCTGCTGCTATAGCTGCTGCTGCTGCTGCTGCTGCTGGTTGCATGCATGCATGCATGCATGCATGCATGCAAGTATATGTGTTTATTTGGTGTTATTATTTGCAGTGTACGTACAAAGACGATTGCTGCTGTATTTATCTTCTTAGCATCTGTCTTAGGTGCTGTACCTGGGTTCGTGCTGCTGCGTCGCCGTCAGCAGCAGCAGCAGCAGCAGCAGCAGCAGCAGCAGCAGCAGGATTCTTCTTTGGGTATAATCAGCAGCAGCAGCAGCAGCAGCAGCGGTGGCAGCATAAGCAGCATCAATAGATGCGCTATCCTCCCCTCTTGCTGCAGCAGCAACTATGGTGCTGCTGCTACTGCTTGCTGCTTCGGTGCTCCTTCCTTCTTAGTTCGTGCTGCTACGGTGTATACAGCAGGAGTTGTTGCTGCTGTTGCGCTGCTGCACTTGCTGCCAGCAGCAGAGCAGCAGCTAGCAGGTGTTACATGGCAGCAACCAGATAAAGGGGCAGCAACAGCAGCAGCAGCAGCAGGAGAAGCAGCTGCAACAACAGGTGCAGCAGCACCACCATCAGCAACCGTACCAGGAGCAGCAGCAACACCAACACCAGCAGCAGCAGCAACAGCAGCAGCAGCAGCAGCAGGAGAGCCACAGAATCACTTAGCTTTTCTTTGCTGCTTAATAGGTTTACTCGTGTCTGCTGCTCTTGAGGCTGCTGTTGAGCAGCTGCTGCTGCAGCAGCAGCAGCAGCAGCACGAGGGAGATGCAGCAGCAGCATCAATTACAGATTCAATATCCAGCAGCAAAGAGCGACGGTTGTTTCCTGCTGCTGCTTCTCCTCTCTCGCCTGTGCATGCAGCAGCAGCAGCAACAACAACAGGAGGGGAAACAGCAGCAGCAGCAGCAGCAGCAGAAGGTAACGGATGGGATAGCTGCAGACACGATGCTGCTGCAACATCCCCTGAGGGGAGAACCAGCAGCAGCTGCTGCAGCAGCAGCAGCAGCTGCTGCTGCTGCTCTAAGGGCCTGACGGTGCAGCAAAAGGCCAAGCACTTGTCTCCTGTTGATTTAGAGGCAGGGGACGCTCCCCTGCATCCTGCTGCTGCTGCTGCTGCTGCTGCTGCTGCTCCTGAAGCAGCAGCAGCAGCAGCAGCAGCAGCACCTTCGTGCTGCAGCACGCGCTGCTGCGCTCGTAGTGGTGATGAAGGGCGAAAGAAAGCAGCAGCAGCAGCAGCAGCAGCAGCAGTAGCAGCAGGAGAGATGTCCCCATGTGCTGCTGCTGCTGCAGCACGTCCTGCATATCCATCGGACATAAGCAGCAGCAGCAGCAGCAGTGGCGGCAGGAGTTGCTGCAGCAACAACAGCAACAACAACAGCAACAGCAACAACAACAACAACAACAGCAGCAGCAGCAGCAGCAGCAACGGTGCAGCAGACGGGCAGCACATAATATGTCCCTATTCTTTATTAGAGGAAGATAACAGGACAGGGTACAGGGGCCCCCCTTTATTAATGAATATATTAAGGGCCCTATTATGGGGTAGGGGGGCCCCCCGTCGTTCATTATGGGGGGCCCCCCGTACCTATCGTGGGGCCCCTCGCACATCATTATTATCCTCTCGTTCTGGTGGGGCCCCCTCAAGGGGCCCCCGGGTTCCCCGGGGCCCCCGAGGTGCCCCTCGATGTAATGGGGAGCAACAAGGGGCATCTAGATCTGCATTAGCTGGTTTGCTGCTGCTAGCTGGGCTGTCTGTACACTCCGTTCTTGAGGGTTTATCATTAGGGGCAGCAGCAAACCCTCGAGGTGTTGCCTTGGCTATTATATTACATAAAACCCTAGAGGCATTTGCTGTTGGTAGTTCTCTTCTTCATGGTAAGGGTTTATTAGGGTTTATTAGGGTTTATTATGGTTTATTAGGGTTTATTAGGGTTTATTATGGTTTATTAGGGTTTATTAGGGTTTATTAGGGTTTATTAGGGTTTATTAGGGTTTATTAGGGTTTATTAGGGTTTAGGGTTTAGGGAAGAGGCAAGATTCATTAAGACATATAAATAATAGATTTATATGGAGGGAAAAGGGTACTGCATCAGCTGCTGCTGCATATGCTGCTGCTGCTGCTGCTGCATCTGCTGCTGCTGCTGCTGCTGCTGCTGCTGCTGTGCTGCAGCTGGTCTATCGGAGAGTTGGTATCTATTACAAATGTTATTTTATGCATTAACTGCTCCTATTGGTGTTGCTGTTGGTCTACTCCTCCAGAGGTCTGCTTCTATTGGTAAGCTGCTGCTGCTGCTGCTGCTGCTGCTGCTGCTGTTGCTGTTGCTGTGGCTGCTGCAGCTGTTGCTGCTGCTGTTGCAGGAAGGACAGTTGCCTGTTGCTGTTGCTGCTGCTAGTACTAGCAAGTTTCTATATATATTATAAATATAGATATAAATACAATTAAATAAACTAAATAAATAAATAAATAAATAAATATGTGTATCTGTGCATGCATGCATGCATGCAGATGGTTGTATCCAAGAAGGTGGTATAACCCCACCAAGTTGTGTTCTTCCTGCTCCTGCTGCTGCTGCTCCTCCTGATAATAATAATGTGCATGTATGGGGTCCTATTCCTCAATGGGGCCCATGGGGCCCCTGGGGCTCATGGGGCCCCTGGGGCCCCACCCAGATCTGCGGTGTATTGACAGGTATAGGGTCCGGTGTATTCTTACATGTAGGGCTAATGGAGATATTATCCAGCGAATTACAGAGGGCAAGAAGAGAAAATAAAAAAGATTTATTATTAATGATCTTATTTACTTCCTTGGGTGCTGCTACTATGGCTATTATTTAGTTAGTTTGCTGCAGCTGCAGCTGCAGCAGCAGCAGCAGCAGCAGCAGCAGCAGCAGATGCTGATGTTATAGGGTTAGGGCAATAAGAGAAAATAAAAAAGATCTATTATTAATTATCTTATTTACCTACTTAGGTGCTGCTACCATGGCTGTTATTTAGTTTGCTGCTGCTGCTGCAGCAGCTGCAGCAGCAGCAGCAACAGCAACAGCAGCAACAGCAACAGCAGCTAATCATGCTGCTGCTGCTGCTGCTGCTGTAGGTGGTGGTATAGTTAGGGCAAGAAGAGCAAATAAAAAAGATCTATTATTAATGATCTTATTTTGCTTCTTTAGGTGCTGCTACTATGGCGGTTATTTAGTTTATTATTTGCTGCTGCTGCTGCTGCTGCTGCATCAGCAGCAGCAGCAGCAGCAGCAGCAGCAGCAGATGCTGATGTTATAGGGTTAGGGCAAGAAGAGAAAATAAAATATATTTATTATTAATTATCTTATTTACTTCCTTAGGTGCTACTACTATTGCGGTTATTTAGTTTGCTGCTGCTGCAGCAGCAGCAGCAGCAATAGCAGCAGCAGCAGCAGCAGCAATAGCAGCAGCAATAGCAGCAGCAGCAGCAATAGCAGCAGCAGCAGCAATAGCAGCAGCAGCAGCAGCAGCAGCAGCAGCAGCAGCAGGTGATGGTAATAAAGATGACGTAGGAGCAGAAGAAGAGGAAACGGGGATCTATATCATCTATTATACCTACATATATATACGTATACGTATATACGTACACATATATATATATATATATATATATATATA